TTTTTTTTTTCCCCCTGACCTTGACTTGTTCTTTATTTGAAGGCTGCCAAAGTGGGGGAGCTGTGCTTGGGGAATGCGGGGGAGCTGAAGGAAAGAGTCCTTCACGCTGACGCCTTTTGTGTTGCAGGGTGTAAATGGCTGAGGCTGTCACTGAAATGCAAATGTGTATTTTTCTGCTGATCTGAGCCACTTCTTTTTTTTTTTTTTTTTCTCTCTTCTCCGAGTAAACAAGCATACTGCACGTTTTAAAGGCTGCTTCTATCCAACATCTTGGTGTGGCTTAGTGCAGAGGTGATGCTGACCTCAGTGATTTGGTGATAGCACATCACCACGAGCACAGACGGCACGTGAGGCTGGGGAAGGACAGTACATCGCCCTTCTCAAGATGGGAAATGGAGACTGAAAGAGGCAAAGGTGGAGCTGGGTGACTCCTAGCCTTTTGGGTGATGCTTCTGCATCCTGGGTTAGTCCAGGGCCTCCCAACCAGGTCTCAGGGCATTTCCACGTGCTCATCTCAGTAGCACTCCCCAGTGAGACGTTCCCCAGCAGATGGAGGTGTCACTGTCCCCTTCCTGAGCTCCACGTACGCTGTTTTAAGTACATCACCTGCCTGATCTGGCACTGGATGTTAAACCAAAGAGCCATTTCTCATCACTGGGGCATGGGATGGCCTCTTAGTCCCTACCCCATATACCAAAACATTTCAATATTTACTGAGTCCAAAGGAAAAGGCACCCCTAAGTGTTATGACAGCATTTACCTGAGAGCACCAGTTCTGGTCCCTGCTTTTAAATGCCCCTTTTTAGGGACTGAAGCAACTTTTCTCACCCTTTGCTTGCTGGTTTGGGCTTGAAACAGGATCTGGAAAACCTGTCTGCTGTTTGGTCAGGACATGGGGACCAGCATCCTGACCTTGAGTAGAAGCAGCAGGCAGCAGCTTTGGAGTCAGCAGGAGGAGGCACTTGGGTTCAGTCTTCCCATAAACCGTGGAGCTTCTGGATCCAAGGGCTAAATCCAAGTGTACCTCCCCCAGTGGGAACGTCCCCTCTCACTTCTCTGCAAGCACGACTCCACTGCAGAAAAGTCCCACCTCCTCTAATATTAGCTAATTTCAAAGAAATAAAGTGTTTCACTTCCAGCAGGTAGAGAAAAATGGGAGGCCAACCGCTAATGACAGCCAGAGGTGGAGATTTGAGCATCTCCAGTTTCCTCCTAGAGCTGCCCGCTAGAGGATCCCGTGTGTCCCCAGCAGTAAGTCACAACAGTTTCTTGGCTGCTGTAAATCATGTCAGCAGGGTTGATACATGCAAGTGCAGACGCCGTTACTGCCCTTGGTTCCTACCCCGAAGAGCCACCACCTGCTGCTCTGGGAGAGGCTCCGATGGTTGTCACGGGGTAAAGTACAGGCAGGCTCTCCCGGCGGGTTCATCTGACTGACATTACAGCCTACCACCTTGTCACCTTAGATCTGAGCTCATTGGGCTTAAAACACAACTGGGAAGCCACGTCCTAAACCCACCATCTCTTTCCCCACCAGCTCTAACCGCAGCCAGGGTGCAGGGTCCCACGCAGGTGTCCATGTGGCAGATGCCAGCTTCAGGGGAGATGAATACCGTGCTGGCAGAGCACCCAAACCCTCCTGCTCTGTGTCCCCCTCAGCCTCTCAGAAGAATTTAGATTGCGAAGGACCGCTGGAGATCACCCAGTCCAAAGCCCTGCTCAAAGCAGGGCACGCGTCGGGCTGCCTCAGTTTTGCATGTCTCAGTGCTGGGCGCCTGAACCAGAGTTTAATTACCCTCCCTGCGAATATTTTTTTTCCCCTTCCATGTACTCAGAGTTTCCCCTGCCACAGCCCGGGACTGCTACTTCCCAACCCCACGCTGGGCACCTCCGTGTCAGGAGGGGGTTACTTTTCCCCACGGGAAAACTCGATTCACCTTTTCCCTGAACGCTGGCCATGCATGCAGTGGAAAAGGGGCATGTCCACCTTATCTGGAACGAATCCCACTCCCTTGCAGGGACATGCAGGGATTTAGGGCCAGATAAGGGGCTGGGAGGGAGGAAGCGGAGAAGCACAAGCCCTTGAGGATTGGGGACAGGCTCCGGGAAGAGCAGGCTGAAGCCAGGGAGCTGGAGCACCGGCAAGCGACACGAGGGGCTGTGCAGAAACTACCCAGCTCCTTAAAATCCCCCTCACGCCACCGTCGCTCTTCCCCGTGCTCTCCCCAGACCCTTTTGCTTCCCTTCAGCAGCGCCCGGCGCTCCACGTACCTGGTGTGCGGTGTCCCGGCCGCCCTTCGCTCCCGTCCCACTGGCCAGAGGAGCGGGATGGACCCTTCGGCCGCCCACGGCCCTCCGGAGCCAGGCGAGAGGCGGCTGCGCTCGCAGGAGGACGTCTCTCCAGCAGGCAGAGCGACTGCCGGGCTCTCCCCGAAGGGGAGGGACCAAACTTTGCCTTAGTTTTCAGATGAGACAATCTTTCTGGGAGAGATCTTCCCCGGGCCTGGAAAACAAGTTTCTGGCATGGAGCCATCCCAAAAAACCACCGCACGCCCCAAAGGACCCTGCGGCTGCTATAGATACCGGGCTGTGCCTTGGTATGGCAGGGATGGGTTTAGATACGGGTTTGTTTACACTGGGCTGTGAATTTCTGGCTTTCCTCGCAGCGCTGCCGAGCGTGGCGGCGTAGGAATGGCTCAAGCACCGGGATCCACGTGAGAAAATTCCCCCCGGCCGGGTTGCAACATCCCACAGAGGAGCTGCAAAGCTTACGGCTGGGCGAGGAGGGGAGACCTGCAGCGGGGGAACATTGCGCTTTGTGTCAAGGTCCCCCCCATAAAAATCCAAATCTTTTCCTCTGGCCTTGTGAGAAAGGGATAACAACACCCTAAGGAAGCTGATCCCACTTTTGGGTGCAACTTCTGGAGGTTTAAGGTGGATCAAGCGCAGGTCCCTACTGATGGAGCAGCTCTGCACGCCCCCCCCCGGCACAGTCCTGGCGTTTGCCCCCTCATAACGCTGAGTTTAGGGAATTAACCCTAAAACCAGCCCCAATAATAAAAGATGAGTTTTCAGAGAGAGCAAGAGGTTGATCCAGCTGATGAAACAGCTGTATGAGCCTTGAGGCTGGCAAAGGGAGGCAGCAGGGGAGGGAGGGAAGGTAAAATTTGGCTTGGCCAAAATTGCTTATGAAGCTGCACTCGTGGACTGTCTCCTTGGAGAGCTGGTGAGCTCCTGCACGGGATCATTGGATTCTCCTCCTATCCCTCAGCATGTATGTGTGTGGGTTTGATATGAAGCTAGCAGAGCACAAAGGTGCTTGAAATTTAAGTTATATTTTTAAACTTTGAATTTTGTTGGCATTTCCTTTGAAAAAAATAAGAAAGTTGTATAGAATCATAGAATCACAGAATCATTTAGGCTATGAAAAGGTCCAAGATTTTTTTTTTTTCCTGTACTTTTGTCCAGCACTCATGTCAGTGGTGGGCTGGATGCATTAAAGTGTAATTTTCAGGATAGATTTAACGCTGATGAAAGATCTTGGAGGACAACTCTTAAGACCTCTAATCTAAAGGAACAGGTTCTTCAAGGTTAGAGAGAGGCAATGAGGAGGAGGCAGCGGTGCATGAGTGGTTAAAGTAACAGAGACATGCCAAAGCCGATGATATGTTTGCGGCCCACTGAGGATCTCCAAACTTTATTTTATTTTTTAATATATTCAGATATTCCCAGATCTGAAGGAGTTGAACTCAGTAGAAGTCATATATGGGTCTTTCTCTTGGATCTGGTATACATAGTTCAACCACTTAAGTCAGGGGACCTACTGAAGCAGGCTGTGATTCCCTCTGGCCTTTATGTCTCATCTTTTTCTTACAAGAAAGCAGGATAGAGATGGTGATGTGTCCTTCCAGCCTGGATTTGGGATGTGGTTGGGATGTTTATGGGAGTTGGGAGCAGGGAAACGGCTCTGTCCACCTCTGGCTCCCAGAATGTAGCTCCTAGGATTGCAAACCTTCCCTCACCACATCAGCCTCTGCAAGCTCCAATGTTGGTCCTTTCCAACATGCTGAACATGGAAATCACACTCTTTTCAATCTGTGAAAATTGTTCCGTGAAGTAAATGCAATGCAAAAGCTGGAGCAAATCCTAAAACTGCTGTGGTTTATGTGGGGGACAGGACTGATTGATTAGCTCAAAACCAGCTGTCAATCCAGGAATGTAAAAGTTTTCTCCTCATTGATTTGGCCAGACTGGAGAAAATATTGCAGTGTGTCCATCCTGAGGATGATGGGCGAGCATAGTGATCCTCGCGAGCTGCTCAAATTCCCTGCCAGCAAAGCAGGTAGGAAATGTCCCCTAGCACAGGTTTAATTATTGTAATCCACAGCCTTGCAGGGGCTGAAGATCTGCTTGTGTTTCTTGAGGAGGGTCTGTTGTATGGGACTGGAAAGCGCAAAACATGGCTATGGAGACAAAATTTTTAAGTAACATGCCATAGCTCGACTATTTGCACCAAAGAACATCAGAAGATACTTGCATTTTCTTTCATTGCAATAAAACACCACCAATAATGGATCTGCAGCATTGGCAAGGGAGGAGCCAGTTTCCATGGTAAGTGAGTACCAACAGACCCGTGGCAAATATTTGACCTGAGCTGGCTGTTTGTGAGCAACCTCCTTGAGAAATGCAATGTGGACTTGTCTACGAGTCCTCTACATAAAGGGCTGCACTTTGCTCCAGATTTCCATGTCTGCAAACCAAACATCACCATCAGTCTGTGATCACTGGTTTGAAGATAAATTATAATCTTATTTTTTTTAATTTTTTTTCTCTCATTCCTTTTTCCTTATTTTTTGGATAAATCCTGGTTTCTCACAGTGTGTGTCTCATTTTTAATCCAGATGCTGCTTGATCTGTTAAAATTGCTCTTGAGAGGAGCTGATACATCAGTGAACACCCACTAAACGACCATCGTTCTTTTACCAGGCACCTTTCTGAAGCGTGCAGCATGACAGAGCTCCACGAAGCCGCGGCTTTGGGGGACTACGACCTGGTGGATCAGATACTGAGGACAGGGCGCTGTGACCCAAATCACAAGGATGTCGACTGGCATGACAGGACCCCGCTGCACTGGGCTGCTGCGAAAGGTAAGGGCACCTCCTGCTCTATTACCTCTGCGAATCGGCATCATGAAGGGTGATGCTGCTTGTAATTACATCTTGCTCTGGCGGCAATTAACAATGGCAATTAATGATGGCGATAGTTGCAGCTTGTATCTGATCGTTTTGTACTTAATGAGCAAAAAAGAGAAAAATACCAATTTAAATGGGAACTTTGCCTTCAAAATAATTTGTGGCATTACCATCAAAGTGATTTTTTTTACCTTTTTTCCCCATGACATGAAAATTTACAATTTACATAGTATGTATGTATAGCACGTCTGCTTCTCTCCCACATTACTTTCCTAAGAGGTGACTTCATACGGTGCAGAAGAGTTATTTCTCATGTACACCTGCACAAATGAGCAGAAAGTCAAACCTGCTGTATTTATACCAAATATCAAACCCAATAGAACAAAATAATTACAGTGTGTTTTACATTGCCCTCCCTTTATCCCACCTGGTCGAATGAACGACACAGGACCAGAGTTGTTTGCAGCTTCCATTTGGTCCTTTGCCATCAGAAATATCTGCTAAAGTCAAATATCCCTTTGCAGCCCAGAAAAGAGATGAATGCAACAATATATAATGTGTAATTGTCCACGGTGTAAAATGGGAAACTGAACCTGTACTCCTCCGTGCTAGGGTGTTTGTTACGTATTGGGATCTCACGTCATGGCATCTGTCTTTGCTCTGAAATCAAGCATGTGATTTGCTGGTTTACGCTTGACATCATGTTTTGCTTTTGACCTGATGGGTTGTTACTCATTTGGGGAGCAGCAAAGGGAACTGAGCTGTTTAAGAAAATGATGATGGGAGACTGGCATGGCCTAGGTGCCGTTGGGAATGATCTAGCTGAGGCAAGGCAGTGTGAAGTGGGGTAGAAATAACTTTTTTTGCTTCTTCAAGCAATTTCACAAGTTAGAAAAATATGAAGGTGAATGAAAACAAATAATTTCTCCATCTCCTATCAAACAAACCTTTGTGTTAGTAAAGCTGTTCACAGGTTTTCCAGGTTTTTAATGTTTACATTTTGAGTTGAACTAAAAGCCAAAATAAAACAATAAAACAGTCAATAGCCAATTGGTCAATGACTAATTGAGATGTGCTGTTCAGAAATTAGTAGAAAGCTTTTTGATTTTATTGTTGTTTTTGTTGTAAAATGCTTATGGAAGCGATTTAGTTTGGAAAAAAAAATCATCATTTTCTAATGAGTATCATTTATTTGATAAATCAAATGGCCAGGTCATGGGTAAAATCCATTGTTACATGACTGAGGGAGCTATGATCAACTGTGTGTGACCGTCTTCTGCATCCTGAAGGTATAAAGTCTGATGCAGGTGCATTTTCTCTCCCTGTTTTGCTGCCCAACGCAAGGGAAATCGGAGCTGGTCAAGCTCCTCGTGGATCACGGCGCCCGGCATTGCCTGCGGAGCGATGTGGGCTGGACTCCAGCTCACTTTGCTGCCAAGTCGGGGAGACTGGGGGTACTTCGCACCCTTCATTCCCTGCACGCTGCCATGGACGCAGCCGACCTCTTCGGCGACACTCCCAAGAGGCTTGCGGAAATCTACGGTCACCAAGACTGCTCCAGGTTCTTAGAAACGTGAGTAGCGACGGCTGGTCCCACTGCGGCAGCTGATGGGGCTCCAGCAATGAAAATTAAATTGTCTGCTGTATAGAGGACCAGAACGAATACGAGCGTGTTACTTATCTTTCCACCTAAAGCCTATTAAAGCCATCAAGCACGAGTAGCAGATAAGCAAATAAGGCTTTTTGTCACGGGGAAGCCATTGGGAAGCCATTCATTTATTCCCCTGCCTTGTATGGTTTGCCTTGGTACATTTTCAAAATCGTTACCACTTCATGACATCATTGTTTTTTCTAAGGATATTATAGAGTAATTATTAAGCAATGGAAATGAAAGCAAGAACTAACAAGTATTAACCCCTTAGAGTGGTCCATACTGAATACACGGTTGAATTGTTTAAGGACAGCCCTTTAGCAGCTGGTGTTAGTGTATGTATATCATTTGGCTTTTCTTGGAGTAAAGAACAGACCCATCCTTTTTTTGTTTTTTGTTACATAATTATTGAAAATTATACCATTTGATCTCTTAACAGGATGGCCACATATTTCTCCCAAATTTTGGAAAACTCCTTCTTGTCCTAAGTGTTTATGGTTATCACTGTGGCACCGTATGCAACAAGTAATATGCTTTTAAAGGGTTCCCAATTACCATTCCTGTTTTTCAGCCACTGATTTGGCTCACAGATATTTTCATCCTTGCAAAGCTGTTTCCCTGGGTCAGGATGCTGTCCTCCAGAGGGCTGAGCTGTGTCCCATACCTCCATCTCTCTAAGGCAGTGGGACAGATCACCAGAGGCCAACCACTTTGTTCAGTGCAAATTGTAGTCCCACGCGTTACCTGGTATTTAAATACATCGTTTGTGAAACCTGCACGCGCCGGACCCTGAGATGCTGAGAGCACCCAATGGCTTTTCCTCCCCTGGGTTTTTCTGTGAACTTACAGTCCCGCCATAGTCTTTAACTGACATCTTTTTTACCGCTGCCACGTTCTCAAGACTGCTTTGGCACCATATAAACCACGGATTTTTTTTTTACAGACAGGTATCCAAGTCAAAGTCTCCAGCTTGCCAGTTCAGCACGTGAGCTGCCAAGTTCAAAATCAGGCACGGTGGCTGGGCAAACGCCTGAGGTGGCCAGTGCTTACCAAATACCACCTCTTATTAATCCACGCAAACCTTTCTGTAGGTACTGTTGTCCTTTTGCTGTACTTCTACAGCTTGTTGGTTCCTGCTGAAATGCTCCATGCCCACCTTAATCTTGACACAGCATCAGTGTCCTTCCATAGGAAGACACCCCCAAACTGTGCAAAATCTCCCTGTACAGAGCCCAAAAATCTTTCTAGGGGAGCCACACGTTCCCATTTTTAAGCTCTGGCTACTATGGCAGCTGATGGGACCATCCAGGAGACCTTACAGCTAAAGCCTGGCTGTTTATGCAGCTGACATGCTGCAAACCCTCACTATTCACCACCTTCCTTCCACACAGAAGAATCAGCTCTTATTGCCCTCAGACCTTCAGTTTAAAGAAATTTAAACAACAAGCAGATGATACCTAAGCTTTGCTAATTAGTTTTTTTACTACCTAGACCCTAGCTGAGATAAGCTCAGGTTTGCCAGTTCTTTGGGACTGGGGCACTTTCTCCTCTTTATGCTCCCCTCAGTTCTGGACTTGCTTAGTTTCTGCATCAGAACAGGTAAATATTGTCTATCCTAGAGAGTGAAAGCTCTGCAGGCTTGTTGTCCTTGATTAATCATTTATAGCAATTGTTTACCTATTCAGTGCTGCCATTTTTGCACTAATCTCACCGTTAAATCCTGCTTATCGAGTCCTGCCAAATCTGTAGCATTTGCTGGGCTCTTGGCTGTGCACCAGAGCTGTGGTGGTGAGGTGATGGCAAGGATGGGCAATTGCCTGGATGATGCCAACAGGCAATGCTGGCGGCAGGCGGAGGTGCTTGTGCTGGTGGAGGTGGCTGGGAGAATGATTGACAGGATGATTGACAGGATGATTGACACCCCTGTCTGAGCCACCTAGGCAACAGCCTAGGGCAACTCATGTAGCTGATGGAGGGTTTTCTGAGGTCAGTGACTAATTTAAGGTGGAAAAGGTCTTTCAGAGCCACGGGTGCCTGCATGGCTCAGCCAGGAGCGTGGCTCAGAGAACTTAGTAACTGGGAAGACACTTTGAATGGTCATGCCTAGGACATTTTATAAGACACACGAAGCCTGTATGATCACCTCACAGCCATAACGCAGTCTGTGGGCAGCCAAGAGTTTATCACTGGGGCTCAGGAACCCTTTTTTAAAGCTCAGCCACTATAATTTACAACCACAGTGGATGCCTTCACCCTCATGCAACAGTTTTACCTCCTCACGTCAGCAAACTTGGAGGTAACTAGGGGAAATTACTGGCATTTATAGTATAATCACAATTACCTTCTGCTCCTTCAGGTGTGCAGAATGTCCCACAGGTGATGTCCATGGTCAGGCAGTGCTCCATGGCAGAAAATAAATATGTGTGTCTGCATGCTAATGCTGCACAGCACAGAGTAGGTCTGCCCTCTGCTCACGGTGTCTGTGGTATTGGTATGTAAATATGAGGGGTATTTTGTTACAGAGCATCACTGTCAGTTTTGGATATTTGCCTATCATGCAAAAAGAGTGAAAAGGCAATTTTAAAAATAACAGCCTATGCCAAATGCAGGGCTGACATGCATATCTAAACAGGGCTATAAGCATCCAAATCCTTTCCAATTTGGCCCCCTCTAGCACCACCGTGATCCTTGCACGCTGTGTGCCTGACCCCAGGTGCTGCTGGCTGGATGAACCTGGGCTGCTCTGTGCTGGGACTGCTTGCATCGACACAGAAATATTACATGTGTCGACATGTAAATATAATTAACATGTAAATATTAGGAATATTCTGCTACAGAATAGCCGTACCACCCACCGAGGTTTGCATGGACATGCAAAGAACAGGAAACGGCCTTCAAACCACAGCTGCTTCTGATTAACAAACATATAATTTGCATTAGATTTATTTTTTTTTTGCATGAGAAGAGCTTTACCCTGGATGCTGTGAGAGCTGCTAGGAATGGCACTGAGGCGACACAGGGACCCGCGGCTCATGCCTGCTGCCAGCCTCTCTGCAAAGTGCCCAGCATTGAAACTGCGCCAAAGGCTCCTGCTATCTAAGCCCAGGGCGTATATATATCTACATATGTACACACAAACACACATCTATAAATATGTTCATCTGTCTGTATGTAGAATCATAGAATCATAGAATATCCTGAG